TTGTATCAAACGAGCAGCTCCTGCGGAGCAAGCCTGTCTCAATAATTTTTGTTAATCATGTCCCAGTTATTCAGGGGCCATAAGTTCACGTATATAAATTGTTATTAATTATTACATATTACAGTAATACTGCTGTATGGAGAACGCAAATCTTTTTGCGTAAGCGAATAAATTTCTTTGTCTCCTTTCCCTTCTACACCTTGGCTTTTTCTTCAAATTATTCATGTTCAGTTTGATAATAAGAATTCACTAAGTTGGATAAAACTTCTAAAGCGAACGCAGTATATTCTGAGATTTTGTGCAATATTCACTAAATCCAATTCAGGGTCTTTGTCTTTGGCTAAAATGAAGATGCATCAGACGCTAATGCTAAAAATTCAGTAGCGTTGGATGATGAAATATGTCAGATGCCAAGTGCAACATTTGCTGACATTGCTATTTATAAGTACAATATCTGAAGCAACTAGGCAATTGCTGTTTCTGTCATAGCCATGTTGGACTAACCGCACTGGTCGGCTGATTGGTCAACTTTCTAGCAACAATCAATTGACGTAGAAATCGAGGGAAAATATGAAATCATAAGCTCTGGCCAAACACCCTCCACCACACCGAATCCAACGCCGGTTAGAGACAGTGGCCTATCAAGTAGTATAACGCAATTCTTGCCATCCACGAAAAATAAAAGTGTAACAGTAATACAGTAAATGACATCTTAGCTTCAGACGGATGACGACATGGTAACAGTTTAATACATCGTCTTTAATCACGAATTCTCATGAATAAATTAACAAGCGGTAAGGTAAAAAAACTGTACAATAAGGCTTGATACCGGATTTACACCGAGAAAGATGGTCAGAAGGAAAGCATCATCACGTACAATTGAATGATGACAGAAGAGTGACAACTGACAATTGAGTTTTTGGGCTGCCTAAACTAACCTCATTCCTCTCCATTTCGAGACTTCACCTTTGATAGCATGTACCACTGCTCCACCCTTCCAAATAGCTTCCAAGTTTATCATTTTTAAATTATTACACGTGTTTTAAACAAGTTTTAAAAATGAATGAAGAATCAAAATGTATACCATGTTAGAAGATCACAAGGCATTCGTATCGATTTCTGCTCTAGGAAAAATTAATGAGATTTTAATTCATACGGACCGCATTTTCCTTTATTTACCCTAAGCCGCTCATCACCGAAGTCCTTCTTCCGTTAAACACACTTACCCAAGAGGCTTAAAGAAGTCAATCATCCGTGAAGTACCATTTTTTAAACCGTTCATAGGTAACTATCGGTCAGCTAGAGCAATTTCATCGTTTTTATTTTTCGATACGACGTGAGAACCAAGGCTGGCATCCGAGTTGGATATAAAACTTTTAAGCATCATTAAAATGATATCCATTTACCCGCAAATTTAATTCCAGAAATTGGAGAAGCAGTGATCATACGTCAGCAGAATATGGAGGACAACTCTGGACTCACTGCTTTGGAAAACCAACGGCTCCAAATGTATACAGCATGCACGCCAAAAAACACAAATATTTCCTTGGTTTCAACTCTGGATGTACCGACGAGGCATCAAAAAATTGTTAGCCATTCAGTACTGGAAAAGACGTCATTGAAGACGAGATGAGGTGATTCAAGACGGCAGCAAAAACCAGAAACGGCAAGTTACAAAACGACCAAAGGGGGCAAATGAGTATATACCAAGGTGATTTATACCCAACCGCACTCACGTCACCCAGTGAAATATCAGAAAATGAGGTCGTCCAATCACGAATTCGATAACCAAATATTCAGCCGTCGTTATTCACTTGCACTACGAAAATTTGCATAGATCCCTTACGAGACAGCGATAAAATTCGACTAGGCATGACCTAAAACTCTTAAACTCACTAGAGGTCCATAAACGATTGGGTTTCCATTTCGTTGATTTTGTTACGATGTTCCTTGCGGGCCTTTCTGAATGCCGTAGAGTAGCAAAACAGAATTTCCCATTTCAATAACTCAGCGATAGCTAATACAATGCGACCCCCCCTTTTCTAAACCTACTGGCTATATCCGAAACCGCTAGAATGGCTGCAGCACATGTCCTCATATAAACGTTCCCTTCTACCCAACTATACAGCTGCAGAGTGAAGTACTCACTGTCTTCGATTACCACAGAATAATGCAAAACTGGTAAAATATCAGTTACCAAGAGAGCGGCCATGATCAATCCGTAATGTAGTTTTCCACAAACTTCAAGAACTCTTTCGATATTGACCTCTATTGGGTTCATGCTCCAGCAGTGACAGTCATTGAACGGATATGATAGAAACTGCCTAAACTGAATCATTTAGGCTCGCTTTTTGGACAGTGGTACCAGATAAAATACGTTCTGCAGTTCCTTCCATATTTCTAGAAAGAAGGCGTGAAACAAGTGCAGTTTGCCCCTCCACAAACGAGCCTGCACTTAAAGGAAGATAATCGACAAAATTTTCGTCAGAACTTAACTACAGTGGAGATCCAGTCAACATGCGTAAAAACCATATTGTGTTCCATCAATCAAATAAAAAGTATGAGGAATAGAATATATATATGGCTGGTTTAGGCCATAGCTCACCTCCAAGCCAATCAAGCTTCACATAACCGTCATCTGGAACCGCACTGATTTGCAGCATTTTTTCACAAGCAACCGTTCTCCAATCAGTGAGTGACTGAAACCCCATTGAATCACTTCACTGAGTTCAGAAATGCAGGTTTTATCCTCATGATGAAATATACGTAGAACTCGGCAACAGAAATGTGTTGATTTAACGAAGTTCATGGTGCATTATAAATATCGTTTAATTTTGACAACGACTAAATAGTGCATTTCAAGTTGATCCGACAGAACTTTTGTAACGTCCTAATGACACATTACACTATGAAGGTGTACTGAGTCAGTTAATATAAGTGCACTGTGAAACATAGACTTACGTTGACACCATGAAGACAGGAGATCAGCGACCACGAAGAATTCTGGTAAAGAAAAAGGCACCTAAGCAGCAGTTCATGATCTTCGGACATCATTATGTACAGTGAAATAAATTAGAAAACGTCAGCGGAAGGCAAATACTGGTCAAAGCAAAGGTCAGCTAAAGAATGATAGATTAAAAATACCTTTCAAAAATCTGGAGCTGAGCAAAGTGGCACCTGAAAGTCGTACAGTGTGTCACTTGTTATCCGGAAGTGGGGCGAGATGATACAGGTTTGGGTAAAAAACACAAGTATGTTTGAAGGTGATGATCGGGTCTTCGCATGCCACAGATCTAAAATGATTTCTCCACTGTATCGGACTCATCGATAAAACTTGGAAATGAAAGTTGACAATAATTTATATGTTAGTGTAGTTAATATTATGCAAATTACATACATACATACAAAACGAACAAAACAGCTTAAAAACAAAATCGTTTTGAAAATCTATAAGCAGGTAAAACCCACCTGTAGAGTTAAATGATTGTCTTTACTTGATGGTCAGAAGTAAATGTACGTTCAGCGTTGGACAGCTTGACCAGATGTTGCGATATCTGGCCATATATTTGGATAATAGTCTTGACGACGGTCAACTGCAGTTCGTCACAGCTAGCAGCGTGAAGAAGCGTTTTGCAGTATGTCGCTGTATGGAAGATATTGATCGCATCGATCTGCTCTTAAACGATCATTTTGCATTCGACTGTGAAATCGAGTGACGACCGACGAAATCGCATGAGTATGGAGTAAAAGGGGCCATTTGCGGAACAGTAGTGAGGTAGTACATGATTCGGCCATTTTTATTGACGTCCTAGCTTCAAGTACGAAAAAAACGACCCTGTAAGAGCAAAAGAGTTACCATCAAAAATACCCATAAAATAGCGAATGAAGCTTTCCGAGAAAAAGAAGTCGGAGATGAGATTTTTGAAATTAGACAGCATCATCAAAATCAGTCACATCACCCAAAAAAGCTAAAAACAAGCAAGTTTGCAAAGGGAACATAATTACATAAATCAAGATGTCAAAGTTTTTTGTTACAACGCGTTTTAATGCCTTTTGTATGCCAAGAAACCAATTAAAAGAGCATAAAAATTAT